ACTTTTTCCTCAGCCCCAAGTGCTGTACAGCTTCGGAAGAAATGGAGAAGAAAAGACAGAAAGAAATATATGGTACAGGGCTACTGAAATAAGAGGACAGATGGTGCTTCTCAGATTTTTGTTGTTCAGTAGCACAGTCGAGTCCGACTCTTCGCGACCCCAAGGACCAGATCGCGCCAGGCCTTCCTGTCTTCCGCCGTCCTCTGAAGTTTGCTCAATTTCATGTTCGTTGCATCTATGTGCGATAGTTTGAACATTCCTTGGCATTGCCCTTCTTTGGGATTGGAATGTATACTGACCTTTTCCAATCCTATGGGGACTGTTGCGTTTTTCACATTTGCTGGCAAATTGAGTGCAGCACTTTAACAGCATCATCTTCTAAGACTTTGAATAGCTCAGCTGGAATACCATCACCTCCACTAGCTTTGTTGTTAGTAATGCTTTCTAAGGCCCATTTAACTTCACATTCCAGGATGTCTGGCTCGAGGTCAGTGATTATACCGTCGTGGTTGTCAAGGACATCGAGGCCTTCCTTGTATAGTTCTTCTGTGTATTCTTGCCATCTTTTCCTAATCTCTTCTGCTTCTGTTAGGTCCCTACCGTTTTTGTCCTTTATCATGGCCAGCTTGGCATGGAATGCTCCCTTGATTTCTCCAATTTTCTTGAAGAGATCTCTAGTCCTTCCCATTCTATTGTTTTCCTCTATTACTTTGCACTGTTCATTCAGGAAGGCCTCCTCATCTCTCCTTGCTGTTCTCTGGAAATCTGCATTCTCAGATATGTGGCCTTAAACTGAGGGGCGTGTGTCTTTCTTCCCCAGACCTGGATGGTCCAGGCTAGACTCCTCTCATCAGATCTCTGACGCTAAGCGGGTTCAACCTTGGTTAGCACTTGGATTAGAGACCACCTCGGCAATCCAGGGTTGCTACACAGAAGCAGGCAATAAAACCGCTCCTGTTTGTCTCTTGCCTTGAAAACCCCGTGGGCATAGCCATAAGTTGGCTGAGACTTGACCACACTTTACATGTGCAGGAGTACGTAAGAACACAAGTCCAGGTGGTCAGCATAGTTCCCTCTAAGCTGAGTTGGTGTGAGCTAGCTCACAGATTTTTAGCCTCCGGATCACAGATTTTTGTCTTAGCTCAGGAAGGGTGGCTCCAAAGCGAACTGATTTAGGCAGCAGCCAAATCGCTCGCTCACAACTTTAATGCCAGTAGCTCACAAAGTAGAAGTTTTGCTCACAAGACTCCATAGCTTAGAGGGAACATTGGTGGTCAGCCATGTTGGCCTGAAGCAGTAGAACAAATTTAGAGTCCAGTGGGGCCTTTAAGACTAACAAAGCTTTATTCAAGGTATGAGCTTTCGTGTGCGTGCACTTTTTTCTTTAAAATGTGCACGCACACAAAAGCTTATACTTTGAATAAATCTTTGTTGGTCTTAAAGGCATCGCTGGATTCTAAATAAGAACATAAGAGAAGCTATGTTGGCCAATGGCTCATCTAGTCCAATGCTCCGTGTCACACGGTGGCTAAAACCCGGCTGCCATCAGGAGGTATCTTCTTAATCTTTTTTTCCTTGCAAATGTCTAGGCAAATGCAACTGTTGCTACGCTGTATGTTATTAATTTCAAGATGCCACAGCACAAACAGGGCAATTTAAAATTCGCATAAATCCCTACGGTCTCAGTATGCAAGATGGGTGCAAAAATACAACCGTCTGCCTTTTACCTTTCCAACGTCAACGACTATCAATGGCAGATGATTAAACGTTACACAGCCAGCCCCAACATGTCGTAACGTGGGAGGCAAAAAACCCAATGTCATGAAGTTTACGCAGTCTGTTCAACAACTGCTATTTCAGTACAACAGCGGAGGGCGGTCTAGGCCATCACACTTACTTAGTCCAGGATTTACACTCATCAGTTGAGGAAGAGACGTTAGAAAAATATCCTGTGGGACATGGCAGGCATACTGCATCCTTGTCCTCTTGGACTATAAGGCAAATGATACAAAAATAGCAATGAGTAGAACAGGTAAGACAAAACGTTCTGAGCCGTAAGGAAGAGTGATACAGGAATATCTCAAATAAATAAATTGTTACTGAGCTCTTTTTGCACACATGAACACATGACGCTGCCTTATCAGACCACTGGCCCGTCAAGGTCAGTACTGTCTACTCAGACTGGCAGCAGCTCTCCAGGGTCTCAGGCAGGGGTCTTTCCCATCACTTGCTGCTAGAGCCTTTTAACTAGAGATGTCGTGGATTGAATTGGTACATTCTGCATGCCAAGTGGATGCTGTACCACTGAGCCACGGCCCCTCCACGTACTGGCAAGGTGTAAATTGTAATGCAGTAGGCAAACCTTGGAGTTTAAAAAAAAAAAATTAACAGGAAATTTTTGCAAAATTTAATTTATCTCATCACAGTGTAATATAAAAGCTATAATTAAAAAATCGGCTAAATAAAACGAGAGAAGGGGGGGGAATTCAACACGGGGACCTAACGGGGCTTCACCCAACAAACTGGCATCTGCAATTGGCTCAGTCTTGAATTATGTCTCCAGTGTGAATCTTGTAGAGAAATTGAGGAATTTCACATTACCCTTCTTAACCCGTTTTGAAGCCGTTTTTGATCTGTCGTGGAGTAAACCGGTATAGGGCTGCCATTTCACACATGGCTTTCCCCTTCCAGTAAAGAGCTGGATCTGAAGCGGTTTGCCATTTCAGACTGCACCGCTTTTTCCCCGCCGTTTTTTGCCCGCACGGGCGATCTCTGGCTTTTTTTTTAATGTTTCGCTTTAAAGTGCTATAGCATTATAACAAAACACTCCAGGCAGTCCAATGGCATTGATATACTGCTGTTCCATTATAGCGTTATAGCGCTATAATGCTATAAAGCGAACGTTCCAAAAAAAAAAAAAGCCGGAGATTGCCCACGTGGGCGAAGAACGGCGGGAAAAAGCACATCGGAACCGGGAGAGGAAACTGAAGACTACTTGGAAGCGGTTGACAGGTAAAACGCTTCAGCCCTGTTTCCTAAATGGGACAGAAGCGTTTGTGTCTGAAATTACAAATATATTCCGGTAGGGAACCGGTTCTAAAACGGTTCTGTCTGAAATGACAGACCAGAAACCGTTTGGGAACCGTTCCTCTTCCGGATTATATCATCTGTCTGAAATTCCTCATAATTTATAAAACCATCGACTAACTGGGTCTCAAAACACTGAAATAATTCATAGATTTTTTTAAAAGTTCCAAAATGAAGTTTAGGCACAAAAATAATGGAAAAACAGAACCAGTATTGGAGAAGCAATTATATACAAATTTACTCTTGTTTTGCTCTTTGACAATTGTTTTGCATGAGATTTCCCGCTCCCTCCATTTGCTACGTCCAGTGGGGTCCAGGGACCCCTGGTAGACTTTCAAGAGACTTCCAATCCCACAACAAAAATTCCTCCACTATGCAAAGTGAACTGGGCCAGTGACTTGTACAAGCTAGCGGTAACTGTGAACTCTTCGGGGGCTGAATCCTCAGTTGAAGACAGACATTTTGAAGTTTTTGAAGTGTGACGCAGGAGTTCTGAACACACATCCTCTGGTCCGGAAACAAAGGGAAACGGAAGGGCAGTGGCCGCCTGTTCAAAACTGGTTCTCCCACACTTTAAAATACTTCCCTCTCTTATGTCTGTCTTCACCTCGTATGTCAACAACAGCATGAAGTCTTACTAGGATACATCACGCCGGAACCCAGAGGGCATTTTGTGTTTCGCCGACAGCAGTCGCAGTCTTCGTTCCAGTGGTAGCCGGCTATGCAAGCACAGAGTCGATGGAACGTGCTGTTTCCCGGGTGCACTTCTATTAAAGCTCTCCCTTTAAAGAAAACGACAAAAACAAACAGGAGAAGTTAACGCTAGTGTCGTGCCTTCTTCCATCACAACCAGGGCTATTTTGAGGCAGGAACGCACAGTAACGGAGTTCCGGCTGGCTTCCAAGTTGGCCACACCCAGCAGGAACACATTAGCATAATAGGCCACACCCAACAGCAGAAACTCATTCGGATTGGCTACATTAGGGGTGTGTGGCCTAACATGCAAAGGAGTTCCTGCTACAAAAAAGCCCTGGGTTTTTTTGACAACAAACAAGGTAAACTGAATAAGAAGCAAAAGGTGGGTGTGGCTGGATGAGCACACTTCTGGTAACATGGGGGTGCGGCCTAATATGCCAATGAGCTGTGCTGTCAGGGCTGTGGCCTAATATGCTAATGAGTTTCTGCTGTTGGGTGTGGCCTATTATGCTAATGAGTTCCTGCTGGGCTTTTTCTACAAAAAAGAGCCCTGATCACAACCATGACATAAAACAAGTTCACACCACCGATACACCAGCCTGAAAATCCATGTCGGTTGTGGCTCATGCAGTATAGTGTGTTCCTCGTTTGTATTTGATCATTTGAGCTATACCACACTATGAT